GAAATATTTGATAAACTACCTAAAAGGAAACAGTTAGACACGTGAAATTTATGAATACGCAAAGCATTCTATAATCACTGAATCGTAATTGAATTTACTTCACTTATTCCTCTGAATCTATAATTTTCTTCGAATTGTTCGATTTGACCATCCGAATATAATAGCCTCCTGGCAACGTCTCTCCAACCGCGTCCGATATGAGTTTTAATAATAAATATATCATCCAATGTAATTTCCTTAGTACAAGCACTTAATCGTTCCACCTCCACAGACATCTCTCGTATCTTCGATTTCGACCATGATTTTGTTGATTCGGTTGGAAATTGATTAACGTTGCAAATGTAACTAGTTCTCGCGCCAATTTTCACTCCATTCGAATTAATTATATTGTAATTCACAACGTTTGCCCCTTGTGCTGTAAAAAACAAATTAACGATTAAATATTAATCGCCCTAACACAATCGAAGGTCGAACGAATCAGCAACAATTGCAACGCACTTACGATACTTCGATTGTTTTGATTTCGTTTTTGTTTTCACGTTTGGCTTCTTATGCTGTTTCTCGTCGGTTGAGGAGGATTTTGTGTCGTTGAAGTCTTGTTCTGTTTTAGAGGAACAAGTATTTGTTGGTATCGCGTTATTCGACAAAGATTTGCTTTCCTCCGTCGACGTCACATCATTTTGTTCAAATTGAGGCGTTGGGTTTGATTTGGTCTTAGTTTTTGTGTTGCGATCATCCGGTTCTAAATTATGTGTGTAGCTTGTGGGTTCTTTTCGCGGAGGATCAGGTATCACATCAGTCGTTAGCATATGAAACCGACGCGATATTTCCGAAAATATTGGCATTTTTGTCCAAAATCCTTGTCGCTATAAAAAAAAATCCCTCCACATTACCTTCGTTCTTTTTCTCGTAAAAAAATTAAAAATTAATCATTTCAATTTTCAAGTTTCGCGAATGTAAAGATCAGGTTCCGATCCGTCTCTATAAATAACGTTATATTATTAATTTATTTATTCGATAGGTTTGGGATTTTTGACATCTTACAATCGTACGTAGTTTAATTCCTTGTATCGTGCCAATGCAAAGAGGAACAGAGCAATCGATGAAGATGTCCACCGTATCTTCACTCTATCATCCAGTATTCGTTTATACGCATGTTATGCACTGTATCAGACACTGCATTCTTTTTTTGTCAACCTGCGTACATATCAGAATTTTTCTTCACGATATGTGCCAGTGTTGCGATAAGAGGTTTTTCTCGAGATTTTTATTATACATTTAAGTAAACAAACGTTTCCTAATAACGAATACACTATGTATCTCACTGGCAACGCCTGAAGTATAAAAATTTATGCAAATCACGTATTAATCACGTGTTTCGTTGTCTATGAGGGGAAAAACAAAAAATTAATCGCAGATGAAACAAATTGTAATGCAGTTAATAAACTTTTTGTTTGCGCCACGATACTCATCGACCTCGCGAAATGATCCATCTGGGTTTTTCAGAAGTGAAACCGGTTCTACATTTGCGAGGACGAAACCACAAGTGTTATTTAATAAACATGTCGCATTCAAAACGGATCATCTTCAAGGCGAAAAATGCTTTGTTTCGTTTATCGTTATATCTTTTGCTCGAAAGTATTCGTGCCTACAAGACTTGATTACAACTAAACGCTTTCTATTTTCTACTGAAATATTCGAAGGAATCGTTATAGATTAATGGGATACATTCCATTATTTTCTTTTGTTTATCTACGAAAAGTACGAATGCAACAGGTTGCATGAATTAACTCGACTATGAGTCCTTTGTATTTGAAAATATACGATACAAAACTCTAATTATCATGCATTCAAACAGTCTAATTAGAATATTCATGCATACGTTACATCGGAGTATGTACTTGAAGAGAGAACGTATCCTAATAAGTAAATTTCCTGATTTTAAACGTGCGAATTCATTTCATGTCTAGACAGTGTAATAGAACTAGTCTTCGATTTCTATTTTTTTTGTTCTTATACAATACACCCACCGTATTTTTAGAACAAAATTTCACTCGTTCGTCGATTGACAATTATTTCATTTGTATTGCTCACAAGTAAAGTCATCCGACGATCAATGTGTTTATGTACATACTTTGATGTTAACCTCTCGACTATCACTGACATGCATCGTCTGCGATGGCTGTGATACTGATAATTGAATAGTCAGAACGTGACGTACAACGTATTTTCCGTAGTACAACCTACTGAAAAATTAAACGTCTCGATTGTCTTGATAATCAGTTTACATATTGTTGTACCCTCATTTTCCATTCCTGAATATTGTACATATATTACGAATATTACATTATTATCACACTTTTTTTTCTAAATTCGATGATTTTTAAGATAAAAAGGGGAAATTCGTAGAGTTTTGTAGAAATACATGATTAAAATCAATTAAAATATGAATCGCGGACAAGTTTTAAGAGACTATGAATTATCACAGGATACTGTAGAGAAATTAAAAGTAATTAAGGAAAAACTAAAAGAAAATATAATGCAGGCCGATCCAATATGGAATATTATAGTACAAAAGGTTGGTATTATCGGTAAAGATTCGATATCAGGTAAATAATATATAATGCATCATTTAGGAGGAACAAGAAGTATTCCTAAGCGAAGAAGATATCACAGATGAGAGTGACAAAGATGACAACATGTCACCCATGATATCAGATGATGCTAAGCTTCAATCTACTCAATTTTATTTTACACAAGTTGACATTAAGTTAGACAAAGATGTTAAGGAGGCATCAATACAAAAGTTTGATATCATAGAATATCTATATGAAGGATTAGAGCGATCAAATGGAAAATTAGATTTAAATCAGTTAGAAAACTTAGCAGATGAAGAACTTGTGGAAGTAGTTTGTAACTTAGAGAAAAAATTAAGCATATTGGGTACCTATAATCTTTGTTGTTCTATGAATAATATGACTTTGGAACAACGAATGAAATATATAGAAATTTGTCTTACTCACTTGTTATTACCAAAGGTGATGCTACTGAATAATTGTATTAAAATATTTGCACTGCAAGTGCAATTAATATCATTTAAGCACTGTTGTAGATAATTACCCTGGAAGAACCATCAAGGCTACTATTATCTGCTATCACAGAGTGTGTTCAGAAATTTCCAGATGATATTCAAAAATTCATTTTTATCCCTTTATTAAATATTGATTTAAAAGATGTAACAAGTGTCACTGCTATAGCAAATGCATTTGAATCTGAAAGAAACATTGTCCTTATTACGTGCGTGCTCAAAATATTGCTTATCAACATTGTAATGTGTCCCATTATATTACTAATTACTTTTTATCATTATTCATAGGGAATATTTATCATATGCACAGGAACTCAAGTCCTGGCATCTTCCCATTCTACACAATTTGACATCTGTTAAAACAGATATTGTTACAAATGATAAACTTATACAACTTTTGTCAATGAAAGCACTTGACTTTGCCAAGGACAAAAATTTCGGAAAACTTATACTATCGTTAATTAAAGTAAATACAAATTTTACAGACCAACAAAAGGATCTATTATGGGAAATAGCCAATATAAATCAAACATTATTCAAGAGACCCATACAAAATATTTTGAAAACTTTGTAATTTGTGCATGTGTGTATATTTTCAATAAAGTTTGTATTTTGATAATCGTGGAATACTTTTTTTCTTTTTTTAACACCTGAATCACATACAGTATATTATTTATATGCGAAAGAATTAATTATTATAATGTTATAGTTTGAATATTCCCGCGCATTCCTTTTGTATGTTTCATTTCTCTTTCATGTTATTAGCCACCTGGCGGTGAATTACCTGAACTAACCTTTGGAGTTTGGTCAGCGCCTCTATCGGGAAAACGCTCAAGTTTGTCCTCGATAGTTTCTTTTTCTACTGCTAGATGGCGCCATTTGTTCTAATGATTTACCGACAGGCGTTAATAGGATAAATAGCGCCATCTAGCAGTAGAAAAAGAAACTATCGAGGACAAACTTGAGC